ATAAACTAACTGCATGACCTATAATTGCTTTTCTAGAAGTTAGAGCTAAAAACTACTCTCTTGAACACAATATTTAGTCACAGAGAAAACTAAATGAAGAGACACCAAGTAGCCGGGCCCGAGATCATCTGAGAGAAATCTCTTACCCAAATTGTACTTGTTGAGGATCTGAGAATCTTTTCACTGTGGCCAGTGGAGACATGGATGACCAAGACTTCAGGACAATCTAAATCTAGGACAGTCTGTCTTCCTGCCCTCACTGTGACTCCCAACTGGAAAAATAAAAATTGCTGTTTTCCCTGGAGTTATTTCATTGAAATATTAATTCTTAGAACCTCAAATAAGTTCTACCTAGAAAAAGAACTACAAAATGTCTTCAGTACCAGAAAAGACAGGAGCATGGTAATATTTTCTATAATTTTTCTGAAAGTTTTTCCCAAATCCTTTCTAGTCACTTTATACTTTTATTAATATCTCTCCTCAGGTCTTCTCTCCCTGCATCTCTGGGACACCTCTTTTCACTTTCTCACCTCACATTCCACTAACAGACACCATTGTATAGCAATGCTCCCTAAAGCATGTGTATATTTCTTGTTATGTTCCAGTGGGCCTTTGTCCTCAAGTTCTCTTATTAGGTAATGAGGAGGTCAGTGTTTACTCAATGAAGAATCTTAATTATTGGGAAAGGGGATTCCATGAATTTTGGCAGAAAACATCAGAAAATATTGGTGCCCTAAGATATACTCTTTTTTCCTCAATCCTATTTGTGCAAAGAATTCATTTCTCTATTATTACCCATTCCCATTCTGATCTGTGCTAAAATAATTAATGCAAAAATGTGGGATACATATTTATAACAATTTATTCCGATCATCAGGCCCCTTCTATAAGTACTGAAGCATTTCAGCTCTCTCCTCCTAACTTCACTTATCAATTAAGACTTCAACATTTTCTGAGTTGAACTATACCAGGCCAAGTATCAGGCACCTACCGAAGTAAATCTCATATTTTGATTATTGGTCCTTAACTACTACTGCTCACCTTGTAAAACATTGGTGGCATCATTAGACCTAAAGACTTCATACTTCATAACTATCTCAATGTACAACCCTTACCCAAACTTATTTTACTTTAGACATAAACTCACTTGGGTAAAAGCAATCTCCAGTGTTGAAATTTCAGCAAAAAGGAAGATAGTGATTATTTATGATGCTATTTGATTTCAACTTTATATTCTACTTCTGTTAAGATGGTCTTTGAAAAAAGATGTGGAATGCTAAATGAGTTTATTTTTGTTGTTGTTGTTCTGTGTGCAGTTCAAGGAAAATTGATAAACAGTCTCGGAAGAAACCCTTGGGTTGCTCTTCCCACCTCTACCTTTTCAGGAACTACCCCAAACCCCCTACATTCACAATCATTTTTAGATCTGGAACCATTCACTCCGACTTTGGACTGAATTGAATTCACTGTGTTTCTTCTGGGAGGTAAGTGAGAAGAGTTTGGTATTAGCATCTTATCATTTCCTTAAAGATTAATATAAAGACATTGTCCTTCTTTGAAAGAAGGTATCATTTGTTAGAAGGTCCATGCTTTGAGCCTGGAGTGAGATGGGTCATCAAGTCACATGATGTAGCTGTCTCACTGATAGACTGTGGTGCCTCCATTCCAGGATAAATTTTCAGGTTTTGGATCCACAATGAACAGCCTCTCTAATATGCTCTGTAGATGCTAGAGTATTTTCATACTAAGAATTGGTCCTTATAGCCAGGTCTATATTAGAGCGTCACCATAAAAGAATTGAACCAATTTCTCTGATTTGAATACTAAATACCAAATTCTTAAAAATGTTCACAGTCTTGACTAGAATGGATTTTGTTCACAGTGTTATTTTGTTAGTGTAAAATCCAGGGAAGTTGTTCACTTTCAAAAGAATGTTATGGACTTGCTAGGGGATAGTTTATATCATCAGTCTTCCATCCAATAGGATTCCTGAAATGAGCAGGATAGGGCAGTTTAAAATGAGTACTTTGACACCTGATATGGCTGCATTCTATACCTCAGTGAAGAAGCAGAAAAATACTGACACATAGTGAGGCAAACGGCATTTCTGAGAACATTTTGTGACAATATATTAGCATGTGGTGGGCTTTAGTTTTATTTTAAGCTAAACATTCAAACAGATTATAGGTTAACAGCTCCTACAACTCAGATTTAGTATTGTTGTTTGATCATCATAAAGCATATTATGTTGCTAGTTTTTTTTTTTTAATTTTTTTTTTCAACGTTTATTTATTTTTGGGACAGAGAAAGACAGAGCATGAACGGGGAAGGGGCAGAGAGAGAGAGGGAGACACAGAATCGGAAACAGGCTCCAGGCTCTGAGCCATCAGCCCAGAGCCCGACGCGGGGCTCGAACTCACGGACCGCAAGATCGTGACCTGGCTGAAGTCGGACGCTTAACCGACTGCGCCACCCAGGCGCCCCATGTTGCTAGTTTTTAAAAGACCCAGGGGCGCCTGGGTGGCTCAGTCGGTTGGGTGTCCGACTTCAGCTCAGGTCACGATCTCGCGGTTCGTGAGTTCGAGCCCCGCGTCGGGCTCTGGGCTGATGGCTCAGAGCCTGGAGCCTGCTTCCGTTTCTGTGTCTCCCTCTCTCTCTGCCCCTCCCCCGTTCATGCTCTGTGTCTCTCTGTCTCAAAAATAAATAAACGTGAAAAAAAAATTTTTTTTAAAGACCCAAACTATGATTTATAAAATTTATTGGCATTTTTGCTGGGTACGTTTAAATAAGATTTAAATAAAATAACAGATTTTTTAAAAGCAAGTAAAGTAATGTGTCAAAAAAAAAGTAAGAGTTTTACGGACTCAAAGATAAAATTTACTTTTGCAGATAGTGCTTCTTCATTATTGAATCTTCTTCATTGGTTTGGCACAACCCCCTGGGACTATAGGTTACCCACTGGACAGAATTCAGAGGTAATTCAGAAACATATTCTAAATAAGGGCACAAAGTTTGGGAGGTATATACTGGATATAGTATCAGGGACGGGGAGGGTGGAGAGGAAGTTCAAGGCCTAGGAAATTTTACTTCTGAGCAAGATTATGCCTTTTATTGCAAGTCCTATGATTAGACTTGTGTGGTAGACACAAAAAGTAGAGGTGCCAAGAAAGATTTGGAGTTCAAAGGGCAGATCAGAATACTTTAATAGTAGCAAAGCACTCATGAAGATCCCAGGAAAGTCTGCGTATGAACGTCAACCATAGGTTGCATCTGATGAGGAGGAAACAGGCTAGGGGGATTGTCACACCTCAGTAATACTCGGGTAGGTGCACTCACACAACAGTTAACGAAAGTACACTGGAGAATTGTCTTCAATTGCATGCACAGCACAGTGCCTTACAGTGAACAGAGATTCAAAAAACTTTTGTTCAATAGCATTATGGATAGGTAGATAGATGGATGGATGGATGCTTAAAAAAGCAAAGTATGGAGTGATCACTATGAAGCAGATATCTGTAGGTATTAGTGATTTCAGAAGGAATAGGCCCTCTTTCAGTCTATTACAGCAAAAAGGAGAGAAATATTCCACCTCTTCTCTTTCTCTTCTAATTCCAGGCCCCCTTAATGCTTTGCCCTTGACCTGAAGTTGACCTTCTGGACCTAGAGATAGTCTCCAAGGGTTTTTACTACATAATCTGTTCAATTTTATTTATTTTTGTATTTACTTACTTAACAATGGTTCATTTAAGGTCCATTAAATATTGATGGGGAGGTGAGTTAGAAAATAATTCCTGCCCTCCTTTGAAACTGCACTCTCATTGTAGACATAGGAAACAATACACTCAAAACTAGGTGATAAAGCAAGCTAGTAATATAAATAATGGCAGAACTTACAATGTGTTGATGAATTGTTACCCAGAAAAGGGAAGCACACAAGGTTTTACGATTCCAGACTAGAAAGAGATTAATTAGAATCTCACATTAGCTTATTTAGCTTTATTTTCATCACCTGAAAAATATGGTTCATGATGATTTTCCCAGAGATTTATGTGAGAACAAAGAAGGAAGTGGTCAAAGAAGAACTCATGGATCAGGTGGTAAATAAGGTGGGAATCTCAAGATAAATAAGATGTAAAGCAATTAGTAGAAACACAAAATAGGCCAACCGAAATCAAATCAGAGAGAACAAGAGTGATGGGGAACAAGAAATGCCTACTGGCCTCAGCAGCAGGGCATCTAGAGAACCTTGGGTGATTAACACTTTGAAATCCAAACTAGGGAGTTTGGCTTTTTCTCTAAGCAGGTCATACAGTAGATCAGCTCTTGTTTTACAATCATATGTGGCAGGTTCAATTCCTTGCTGTTCAAAGAACTGATCAGTGTGGGGATCTAGACAAGTTCTAGGATCACTGGGCTTAAATGTTCTCACCTGTGAAATAAGCTCAGTCTCTTCCCTCACCATCTCCCGTACAAACACACACACAGCGGAAAACATGTGCGGAGGTCATTTGTACAAGATCAACAGCTACGCAAACACAACTTTGCTATCATTAATCAGTTAATGAACCGTCGGTGGGTTTTGAAGAAGGGAGTAAAAACCCAGGTAATAGATGTGAGCAGAGATCTGCATCAGCCTCTCCAAGACATCTTCTGGAATTCACCTAGCTTCGGGATTGTGTAACTTAGTCGTGGGACAGTTCTCTGGTAGGCCTACGTAGTCGACCATACCCCCACACATTAGCCTTATTAGGAAAAAGTCCAGTGGGGCTGATCCAGAGCTCAGAGACAGCACCGCAGAGAGCCAGGGAGGAGAAGGACTCCACGGAACCATCGAAGGCAGATATGAGGGCTATGAACATGAAGATCAGACCAGGCAGGAGGGATATATAGGGAAAGATACGGGGAATGAATAACAAAGAATAATACCTTCAGCAAACTGTTATGGAAAGAAGAAAATTTAATGGTCTTCCTAAATTTTCTCTAAAGAACAGTGACCATAAATGGCCTCAGGGAATCACAGCCGCATCACAGAGTTCATTCTCCTCGGGCTGTCTGCTGACCCCCATGTCCAGGCTCTGCTCTTTGTTCTGTTCCTGATGATTTACCTTCTGACTCTGCTGGGGAACCTGCTGATCATACTCGTGATCCATACAGATTCTAACCTCCACACACCCATGTACTTCTTCCTCAGCCACCTCTCCTTCCAAGACCTCTTCTATTCTTCCGTCACTGTGCCCAAGCTGCTGGAGAACCTCCTGTCTCAGAGAAAAGCCATCTCAGTAGAGGGCTGCCTGGCTCAGGTATTCTTTGTGTTTGCCACTACAGGGATTGAGGCTTGCCTGCTCTCAGTGATGGCCTATGACCGCTATGCCGCCATCTGCCACCCTCTGCTCTATGGCCAGGTGATGAGTAAACAGCTATGTGAGAGGCTGGTGTGGGGTTCTTGGGTTGTGGCCTTTCTGGATGCACTCATGAACATCCTCCTGGCTTTGAATATGGACTTCTGTGATGTTCAAACCATCCACCACTACTCCTGTGAGCTGCCTTCCCTCTTCCCTCTCTCCTGCTCTGATGTCTCCACCAACTCTGCGATGCTACTCTGCTCTGCGCTCCTGCATGCCATTGGGACCTGCCTCCTGATCTTTTTCTCTTACGTTCGCATTGTCTCCACCATCCTGAGCATCGGCTCCACCTCAGGCAGAAGCAAGGCCTTCTCCACCTGCTCCTCCCACCTCACTGCAGTGAGCCTGTTCTATGGCTCAGCCATTTTTCGCTATCTCATGCCAACCTCGGGTTCACCTCTGGAGCTGATCCTCTCCATACAGTACAGTGTAATCACGCCCCTGGTGAATCCGCTCATCTACAGCTGGAAGAACAAGGAGGTGAAAGCAGCTCTGAGGAGAATGACGATAAAATATTTACAATGTCTCAGCACCGAAGAGATATAACATGAAGAAAACAGGACAGAACCGCAGCAAGAAATCTCATGGCTGACATTAAGTTCCTGATTTCCTATTTTGTCACGTGTTGCAATATGCATTGCTGATGCTCCCTTTTGAAAAATCACCAAGGAAAGTGCTGGAAGCTATTTTGCTTGCCATGGCTCAGAATCAATCCTATTCAGACACAGAGCACGTAAATCAGAAAACCTCAGCTTCACAGTCTTAGTTAATGACATGTCAAGTCATGATTCACATTTTTGAAAATCATTCAAATTGGGATGGGCCCTGAAATATTTTGCATCCTGAATGTTTAATTTGAATTAATGTGCCTGGGGAAAGGTTTTATAGGCATAAAAGATCCTGGATCTCTGAGAAAGGGAAAACAAAGAGTTGAGCTTTGGGGGGGTGGAGGAAAGGATAACGAATGGGTGGTGGTAAAATGTCTCGAAATAGGCGGAAAGAAAAATGTAGCCAACAGAGGCAAGTCACAATTTACCAGGTATACTAGTTCTCTATTGCTTTCTATTATTGTCATAATAAATTAGCGAAACTTTAGCAAATTAAAATAACGTCCGTTTATTACCTTCTGGTTCTCAAGGTCAGAAATTTGGGCAGACTCGGCTGGGTTCTCTGTTTAGGGTCTCACAGGTCTCACAGAAATCAAGCTGCTGGCTGGGTTGGGCTCTTATCCACAGGCTCTGGAGAAGAATCTGCTTCTAAACTCATTCTGGTTGTTGGCAGAATTCAGCTCCTTGAAACTGTAGGTCTGAGGTCCCCATCTCCTTGCTGGCTGCTGACAGGGGGTCATTCCCTCCTTATCAAGGCCCCTTCGCTTCTCACAGGGCCCTCTCCATTTTCAAAACAGCGCATCGCCTACCTCTCACGCTCCAAATCGCCCATTTCCCCTCCCGCTTCCATCTGGAGAAAACTCTGCTTCTAAAAGGCTCCTGTGATTAGATTAGGCTCACCTGTATAATCTCGTATTTTAAGGTCAACCGATCTGGGACTTTAATTACATCTACGAAATCCCCTCACAGCAGTCTCTAGATCTGGGTTTGAATAACAAGAGACTGGGAATCTTGAAGAGCCATCTTTAGAATTCTGCCTTTCACACCAAGTAAACATATAAACATAACACTCCTACCACAAGAATAGCTCATAAAAGGGATCAAAGCTGGAATGAAGTGGACGGAAAGGGAGGGGTGAGAGAAGGGAGAGAAGTGGGCAGAGCAAATAGTGCTTCATAGAGACGGGGAAAGAGTCAGCCTGGAGAGGAGATCATTGAGAAGCTGTCAAATGTAGAACATCTCCTTGTCCCAGAATATGTATGGATATAGGGAATTCACTGCGTCGATGCCTGGGACTGATAATGAAGAAAGGCTTTGGCCCAGGACTTTAAAATGAAACTAGGGGCGCCTGGGTGGCTCTGTTGGTTAAGCATCCAATTCTTGGTTTCGGCTCAGGTCATGATCTCACAGTTCCTGGGATCAAGCCCCAGGTCAGGCTCCACATTGTCAGCCTGGGATTCTCACTCTCTCTCTCTCTGCCACTACCCACTCGCTCATGCACTCTCTCTCTCTCTCTGAATGAATGAATGAATGAATGAATGAAACAAACTAAAATACAGACATAAGTTCCTACCCAAGGCTTAGGATGACCTCCTTCCATTTGGGAGGACCAAAAGCCCTGTCTGTGGTCCTTCTCTCTCTGCACATCTCCCACTTCTTTATGTCCCGGTGCCTTGAGACTGCCCTTGCAGAACTCCGCAGGCTTTCCACCTAAAGGATATTTGTCTAAGCCATTTTAGCCAATTATCAATTCTTTTATCCCAATCTATAATTATCAAACATTAGGTTTTCATATAAGGCAAACATGTTTCAGCCCATTTCAACATTTTGTTTCATTTTCAATCTGTTCTGTTTTGCTTCTTGCTTGAGTACTAGAAATAGTCTTAACTGCATTAATGTCCAAATTAACAATATTTTATAACAACCTCGGCAGAGAGGTAACGTAGAACCACTAAGGAACCATAGGTATTCATGACTACCTCTTGTCTTGCAGCGCACGAAAGCATAGTAAGAGTTAATATGTTAACAAAATTTTGAAAAGAGTACACACTTGCATGGAAGAGCTCACTACCTCGTGCAAACAGTGCAAAGAAAATGAGTTTTATTTTAATGTTTATTGATTTTTGAGAGACAGAGCATGAGCAGGGGAGGGGCAGAGAGAAAGGAAGACACAGAATCCGAAGCAGGCTCCAGGCTCTAAGCTGTCAGCAAAGAGCCCAAGGCAGGGCTCAAACCCACATACCGTGAGATCATGACCTGAGCCAAAGTCAGACGCTTAACCTAACGGACTGAGCCACCCAGGCACCCCATGAAAGCGTTTTATAACCTCCTTCTGAAAACAATCTGCATATGCAAAAGCATTTTTTCTAAGTTACCATGCCACACTCCCCAAGGACATCACATTTGGTTTTATTCAGTACTTTAATGTGCTTTGATATGTATATGTGTAACGTATATTTGATGTCTGCAAAAGCCAAGTAAATTTTAAAGATCTAATTGGCTTTTGGGGCACCTGGGTGGCTCAGTTGGTTAAGCGTCCGGCTTCGGCTCAGGTCATAATCTCACCGTTTGTGAGTTTGAGCCCCGCATCAGGCTCTGTGCTGACAGCTTGGAGCCTGGAGCCTGCTTTGGATTCTGTGTCTCCCTTTCTCTCTGCCCCTCCCCTGCTCATGCTCTGTCTCTATCTCTCAAAAATAAATAAATGTTTTTAAAAAAAAATTTTTTTTAAAGATCTAATTGGCTTTATTAATTGATTTATGAATCAGGCAGCATCCTATCAGCCAAGTAGAGGGGAGCTCCAAAGGGAAGGTTTTTAAAGGTAGAGAGGGAGTGGAAAAAAGGAAATTATTAGCAAAGAATCCATTGTTTTAGGCAAGGTTGCCCTCCTAAGGGGAAAGCTAGGATGTCTTTCAGTAAATTTCCTAGTGCTGACCAGGAAATTCCCACGTTGACTGGTTAAAGGTTACATTTCTGAGGGGTTGAAACTGCAGGAAGATTATTAAGTCTTGGTTTACTGACTTGGGGCCTTAAGCTAAGTGATGCCATTTGGGGCCTGTGATCTTCTTTGTAACACACACACACACACACACACACACACATTTAATGAGCACTAAATATACATTTAATATTATAACTGTACCAAATAGTAATTGTGTGACCGAAACCCATGTTTGGCTGCCCGTCCCTTGAAAGGCCAATTAATACTCAAGAGACAAGTTTTGACTGAAAAGGAACATGAGCTTTATTCGGGAGGCTGGCCACCTTTGGGGAAGGCGAACTCTTGTCCGAAGGCCGGCTTGTCCGAAGGCCAGGGTTTCTGCCTGGCCCAGAGATCTTTAAAGGGGTTAACTCAGTTCAGGGAGTGCTCTGGTCTGTGACATTTCTTTATTACCTGCAGACTGGATGATGCCAGCTACAGAGCTATCTCGGTGCTTGGAGGTTGCGCAAGAAGTTCTATCTAGTTCCTTGTGCCCGGGGGAGGATTGTGCAAAAAGGTCTGGTTCCTTGGTACCCAGGGGTGGTTGTGCAAGAGTAGTCTGTTCTTTCTGCAAAGGAGGGCAAGGTCTACAGATGCGCAAAGGGAGGTTGGTAAAGTCATTTGTGTGACCTTAAAAAAGAAAAACATTTTGCTACAAGATTGCTACTGGGCTAATCAGAAAGCCTGTGAGATTTCAAACAGACTTTCTGGCCTCTGTGACCTGGGAAAATTCTGGTCTTTCATTCCCCAAGGCCAGTGGTCTGCAAATCTCAAAGAAAGTAAATTAGTTTTGTCACTGATCAAGTGAGCAAGCGAGGGGTGTGTTAATTTGCTAACCCTTAAATTAACTCTTATTTTTTTTAGTTTATTTTTTTTTTTTCTTGAGAGAGAGAGGGAGAGAGCAGGCTCCATGCTCCTCGCAGAACCCGACACAGGGCTCAATCCCACAACCCTGAGGTCATAACCTGAACTGAAGTTAACAGTCAGACGTTCAACCAATTGAGCCACCCGGGTGCCCTGACCCTTAAATTAACCCTTAACATTGGCTGGAGTGCTGTTACAATTGTAACGAATGATAGATTTAAATGACAACATTGTTTGTTCTAAAACGCTAGCCTTTTAAAAGAATCTTATCTAGCATGCTAAAAAAAAAACCAAGACAATATTAATAATATACTGCTTCATTTTATATCTTAATTTGGCTGTTTGAAAATTTTCCTTATAAGTAGGGGACAATGTAGTGATTAAAACAAAGGGATCGTATCGTAACTGTGTTCATTGTTTTCTCTTTCCCTCTTCCCGAATTCTCAAGATTAGCATTTCTTAAGATTAAAAGAAAAAAAGCTTATTAATTCCTTAAACACTGTATGAATCCAAGGTTTCTAAAGTCAGTTGAAGTATTTATACCTGTAGGAAGGAAAAAAAATCTTTTTCTTCCACCCTTTTAAGTTCATGACTGGGACTCCTGGAACGAAAGACAAACAAAAGGGAAGCATACAAATTGTCTCTTCTTTTTCAAGTTTTTATTTAAACTCCAGTGAGTTAACATACAGTGCAATATCAGTTTCAGTGTAGAACTTAGTGATTCAGCACTTACAACGCCTGGTGCTCATCACAACCCATACAAATTTATTTAAGTTTTGTGTGACATGGGAATCTTCCTAAGAAAATGAAGACCAGAAAAAACAGTTAAACTCAAGTGGGATATTTTCCCAGGTTTACTGAGATATAATTGAAATATAACATTGTATAAGTTTAAAGTATATAACATATTGATATAATAATATACTTATATACTGCAATTTGTTTTTAAATGTCTCTTTATTTTGAGGGAGAGAGTGACCATGGGAGGGGCAGAGAGAAGGAGAGAGAGCAGGCTCCACGCTCAGCGCTGAGCCCAACACGGGGCTTGATCTCACAACCACAAGATCACAACCTAGTGAACTAATATCAAGAATCGG